GGCGGGTGACTGACTATCTCCGGCGCAGGTCGGTCGGGGCAACCGAACCCCTGCAACAGCAGCAAAAACGGATGCTGTTTTCGGTGGAGAAGAGTACTCGAGGTCACCGCAGCCGCAGAACAATCTGAAGCTATTGTGAAGAAACCAGGGATAATTCCATTGGCTTTCGGCAAAGCTGTCTTCCAGCAGGAATAGGCAAGGGCCTTTCATCCTCCGGAGGCCCCATGTGTGGTACAGCAGCAAATACAAATACTGCATACGCTCACTGTGAGGCGCTTTACTGCTGTAAGTCCCTTCGGGCTTCAGCGCGTTTTTCTACATTAGTAGGGCACGGTACATACGAAAGATATAAGTTATTAGCGGTCGGCTTGGACTGCTTGGCTTATTGTGTCCGGCGAACAAGCCTACGTGTTGTGGAAAGGGCCTCCGATAGCACTGCAGCTGTAGTTTGGGCTTCACATCATTTATTTGCCGTGGACGGCAGCAGCAGCAGCATCAGCAGCACTAGGCTGCCGCGCAGACGAACACAGGAGAGCGCAACTAACTCATGACCACGGCGTCCCGAACAACGCTCGTCCATGATTCGTCTCGAAGTTTACCCCCCCACAACGAGCGTGTCATATACCTTACCCAACACACACAACACACAGCACCCGCTGCTACTGCACGGTGACTACTGAAGAGGCAACGTCCTCGCAGCGGCATCCGCCGTCGGTGATAACAATCAATGTACAGATCAAATTTTGATCCTAAACAGAGCGCGAGTCAACCTTCCAGATGGTACAAAGTACATGACACCGGAGAGAGGGCATCACAGATACCGACGGCGGCAGAGCTTTTGATCTACGCGGTGATTTCCTCCTGAGAAGGAGCGATCGGCGTGAACCTCCTCTCGCCCTCTGGTGCACACGTGCACACCGAAGCTTGGAAGGACAGCACGTCGAAGCAGCTCTCAGGAAGTAACCAAAAAAAGGGTGGTATGCGGTTTCTTCTTTCTTGTGTATATATTCTACAAGGATTGGGGAACCATGCACCATTCAAAACTCACCCATGATGACCTCTCCAGTCGCCGTTGTCATCATGATGGTGCCGGCGTACTAGCTTTGCTCGTTGCTTACCTCAGCGTGTCGCGCGCGGAAGGTTGGGAGGTTTTTGTTCGTCTTGAAAACGCGCGCAGAGGGTTTGGTATAGAGCAGCAGCGTGTTTTACTGCGGAGAGATCAGGCCGCATGCGCGCGCGCATTATTTTAGGTTTCTGGCGAAGGATCCACCTCGGGCGAGGCAGGGGCGAGGTACGCATAAATACCTCGATCCTCCTGGCGCTCTACTTCCCGCTTCCCAATACCCAAGACCTTATGTGGCAGCGAGATAGAGACCGAATGGGCAAAGATGAACTTCGACAATGGCAATGGATTGTCAGGGCGCTTTGGTCGGCTGCGTCGAAAATGGCTCTCGGCGATCACCAGCAGCAGCAGCAGCGGCATGGACAGGGTGCCGGTGCGGGTTCTGCTGCAAGATCTGCTGCAGGACCACCCGCCGGCCTCTCGTCGAGGAGACCGATGTGCCAACTCCAGCTTCTTGTACCCGACACGATCTTGTTCGAGCGGGGTGAACCCTGCAAATGGATAGGATGTTCCCCAGAAGGCATCGTGGTACGAAAGTCGTTCGTCCGAGCAGCAGCAGCGTCGATCAGGTCTGGCTCGTCAACTTCGTCCATCGTCGCCAGCTCCGTTGTAGAAACATCGACGGCAGCGGAGATTCGACACGCAACGCTTGCGGAGCGAACCGGCCCCAGATATCAGCCATCGTCGTCGGGGGCCATGGACGAGGTCGAGGTAATGGAGCGAATGGACATCGTACTTGCGGCGTTGTCGTCGTTTGCCGCAGGTGGTACCGAGTTGCTCTCAACGTCGTCGCCATCGGCCGCGGGCACGGGCAGCATGGACAGGAATTTTCCTGTATGCGTCGCGAGATACAACGATGGTACGATGGAGTTTTTGTCCGAAGCGTCTCTACGAGCTTTAAGCAGTTTTTACAATTGGCGGGCTTCCTTGTGTGCCCTCCAGGCCTACGTTCGTCCTTCGACGAGCACGGGGACGAGGAAGATCGGGACATATGTTAGGCGCGATGAGCAACCCAACAGCACTCTTGCCCCCGAGCTTTCAAAAACAACACACGACGAGAGTCGTGTAGGGCCTGAACCAACCACCAACTTCAATAGCGCGTGCCCTCATGCTGGTGACGACGAGCCCCGTCGCGATAAACACTCGATGATGCGGACGTTTTCGTCTGTCGTTGCTGCTCCATCGGAGGCCTCATCAACTGCAAGCCCAGGGGCGATGGTGGCGGCGGATGGTGGTACTCTCGCTGGTCCAGCCACCCAGGTCTTGGCGGCAGAACTTAACGAAGCGACGAAGGATGTGGCATTTGTTGCCGACATGTCTTACGCTCGGCCAATCGAGACCCCACCTCGTGCTGCGCGAAGGATGAGCACCGCCACCGCTTCAAGCCACGGGCTTCAAGACTCAGATGAAGGCATCAACAGCGTCGGAAACCAACCGATAAGCAGTGGAAGAGATCAATCGGCAAGTCGGTCGGTATGCATCATTGGCGGGCCCACAGGGCAGCCGCGGCGCCCCCGCCCTCCGTGGCCGAAATCGCGAGTTCGCATCTCTCGACTGGAGGCTGAATATGTCATCGATCAAGCCGGTCGTGCGTGGTTCACTAAAGCGACAAAGGTGTTTGTGTGCATTACATCGGGCTTTGTACAGTAGTCAGCTCTTCGAGCATTGAGTTTTTGAAGTTCGTGGGATTCAGCCGCACTATGATCATGATGCTTTCATCGTGTACCTCAAGTGAGTCGATTGCATCTCGAACAGCAGAGAGTCATGATGATGTCCCGACAGTGGACAGACCGTGCTTGGTTCGCTGGTGGCTGGCATGTAAAGAGCGTGCACGTTGGTGTCAGTAGCATTGTTTAAAGGCCAACAACATGCCGCGTAGAACATGTCAAACTTCTCTAGGCAGTGGAAATGATTCTTGCTGTGGGTGAATCCTATTGAGTGGTAAGTCAACCACGTACACCCCCCTACAATATACAACCAATAGGTGCTCGTGCAGTCGGTCAGGAAGCCCCCAGCGAAGGAAGCCAGCAAAGACAACAAGCGCGTGAAGCGGAAGCGACTAATGGAAGAGGCCGTGCTGGCTTCCTCGGTCGCCGCCAGAGAACTCCGCGCTGTGATCGGTCTTGCCGGCAGGCGGGGCCTTACAGCCGAGGAGATTTTTCAACACTTCGTTGTCGATGATGCGATGAGTGCGAATGCAGTGGGCAAACAAGGTGGACGGGTGGGACGGAAGGAAATCATGGCAGGAATGGCTAACCTTGGGATTGCCTTGTCCGAGGAAGCCTCGGACTTGTTGATCGAAACGATCGTCCGCTCGAGCGCGGAGCCCACACCATGTCGTTCCACGCAGCCCGCTGCCGCGAGTCAAGTTCGTGGCAGTGTCATGCAACCCCAGCGCCTGCCTAGAAAACGAGGAAGTCCTGCTTCTGTTAATGCCTCATCCTTACAACGAGAGGGGGGGCGCTCTAGCACTAGGCGAACAAATTGGTCGCCACCGCCGCTGCGCCGATACGTAACTGCCGAAGACCTCTGGACTTTTGCCTCCAGCGAGTCAGGGAACACTTCAAAGCAAAGCAATAGTGACGGAGCACCGCTTGATGGCGGAGAGAAAAGGGTTTTGGCAAACCGGGATGGTGAGCGACGACGTAGAGCAACCCAGGACCACGAGTCAAACCGGCCGAACCGGGCTAGTCACGGAGGACCAGGCCCGTCGCCCAAACGTAGGCGGAGGAAGAACGTCACCCATTCTCCTGGTGGTGGTATTGACACCTCATCGGAAGAGCAGTCGCGCGACACGGGCGGATCGCGTCGAGTGGGTCCTCTAGCACCATCCAGTGCAGGCTGTGGTAGCCGTAGCGACCGTCCAAAACATGCACAGCAATCGTTCTCCAAGAACGACCGGCAGGCGGCGTCTGATAACCTTCAGGGTTCCTTGTCAACGATTTCATCGGTTTCTACCGCCCACGATCCTGCATCTGTTACTGCTCTTGGTCTTCCGGCAACTGGACCAACGAAAAACCTGGTAGCACTAACCGCGGGAAGGAAGAAGCCCAGGCCTCACCCAATGCCAGCCCCAATCGGGTCGGTTGGTTCTGGAAAGCGAAGAGGTCTCCAAGGCAGGGATACTCAGAGGCGATGGACAGTATCTACCCGTGATTTCTCGGCCTCCCACCAGGACGGATCGGGTCTCAAAACGGCGCTCCTAGAGAAGGGTGAATTGGCGTCGTTTCCTTGCCATGACCCTGCGGAGGAGGCGATGAACGGGAAGGATCGAGTGTTTCATGTTGACAGGTATTGGTCTATCTCACAAGGCCGTGGAGGGTACACGACGATCAAAGAATCTTGCGTGTTGGTGAACACACGGCAGCGTCTTACATAACAAAGTTTTGCTCTCTAGAGACCGGAAAACCTACAGTAGGGAAGGTGGGGCATCTCGATATCGCTGTGTCGCATAGAGATCAGTTTGCATCCAACATACATTTACACACCGGTCCTCGTCTGTGACTCCAAGCAAGGCTTTCGTTCGCGTGAGGTTGTACCTTCACGATCGCGTGCCAATGGAAGCTTGCGTGATACATAAGAGTTGGACGACGGGCCTGATCTACACGAGTTTACGACTGGGCCAATACCGCGATCCTGGTGAAGCCACCCGCCTGCCCCCCTCTCCGCCCCGTAAACTCTGACCGCAACGTTCCCAAGGGGGCTTGTCATCGCCTACCGGGTTCTCCGACTCCCTATCGAGCTCAAGCCGCCACAACAGCAAAACACCCGAACCGGCTCGGTCGGCGACTCGGATAGGGTAAGAACCTCATCTTCCGCTGCTGGGAACGACGATACGATAGGTCACGACCCGTTGGCGGGGTCGGGTTCAACCTTAATGGTCGTGGTGCCAGGGCTGTTTCAGACGCTGGACACCCTCGAGAAGGCAGTTCTTCCGCTGGTGAATGCGCATCCAGGGCTGACGACGCTTCTCGTGGCACCGCCCGGGTTGCCCAATACACATTGGCCTGCCGCCATTTCTCTCGATGGCGAGGTATGTTTACGGATGCCGCCCCGTTGGTTCAGGCTGCTCGAATCGGGGCCATTCGATATTTGGGGTTTTCGTCAAAAGTACCCGTGGCCGGTGGCACTCCGCGTATTATGTGTGGAATCAGTCAAGGGAAACTGCGTACAATGACAATAGGCCGTGTGCCGCAAAAGGTGTTGAGCGCCACTCTCACTTTGCACGAAGTTGTGCTTTGAGACTGAGACCTGACCATGTGTTGCTTCCAGGACCGCGGTCCAACTCCATTTTTGTCTCATTAAGGTTTGATTCTGCCCGTACTACGAAACTCTTGATCACCTTCGTTTTATGAACTTCGCAGCTCACCGCCATGTGCCTGTCCACCCTACTGGAGCACCTTCTAGAAGAAGACGAGCTTCTACCCACGATCGACAAAGACAAAAACGACAACCGAACTTCTCCGAAGGACAAACCAGATCGGCACCCTGATCGTCATCCTACTGATCCGCAGCCCGTATTGAGGCCTGCGCCGATGGCCGCCACGCCCGACCCATCTACCGCAGAACCGGTAGAAACAATGGCGGAAGCGGGAATGCAGCAAAGCAACATCGATACGTCGCCCCCCTGCCCTTCGCCACCCAAATCGCCGAGAAGTCCCCCTTCTGCGTTCGAGGCATTCCCCGTCATTTTTGTTGGGTTCGGGTTCGGCGCCCACTCCCTCTTACACCTTGCAGCCGGTCCCCTGCAAACCCGCTCGCAGCCCCCGAAACGGCAGCCTAGGGACAACTGCGGCGGTGGATATAATGACGTTGATGACTTTGGTGGTTGTTTTTCTGTCGAAACCGATTCCCACGGCGACGACAACGACAGTGGCGTTGGGGATCATGAACAACAGCGAGACGGTGGCAGTGGAGGTGGTGGAGGTACCGCGAGTGACGGCCGCCTCGCTTCGGCGCTCTACCGCAAAGGGCTTCGAGTCGGCGGGCTAGTGCTTGTGAACGGTTTTTTTGCCTTGGACGAGCAGTCTACGCAGGCAAGATGTAGTTAGAGACCCTTGGTCAAGGTGTTTGCTTCTTGCGGTGGCTGGGTTTGTTGGTGAGGTGAGGCGCGCAACCTCTGGTTGGCGTTTTAACACCACGGCTTGATAGGTTGGCCGCACCTGCGAGCTGAAGGCGTCAGATCACCGAGATTGCTTAGAACAAATCGTTCGTTGGCATCACAATGAGAGGAGAAAATGCATTTGCCATTCCATCACCTGACTGTAGCAGTGCGTCAGTCGGGCACGATCCGACGTGTACGTATACGGATGTACTGGAATGGGCGGCGGCTCGGACTGGGGAGTTTCGTAGGTTGGTCTTGATCGAAGCCTGGGAACGTATTTACCATGTGCCTCTGATCATCATGAACGTCACCATTTCTGTCGCATCGTCCGACCACCACATTTTGCGATTATTCTTTGAAACAGGTCGTTGGCAACCTCAGGCAGGCGTTCTACGACCAGAGTGACGGCCTCGCCAGAACCGAGGCAATTGCTTCACTTCTTTTCTCCGAGAACTACGAGTCAGGCCGGATAGCAGCATCAACAACGGCTTCTTCATCCACCGTAAACACATATCCCTTTCTCGAGACGAGAGAGGCGTTTTGCCTCGATGCAGCCGTTTCCGCCTACCCTCGTCCGCAAAATCACCATGGCTTTCCTTCAAGAACCTCATGTCTCTTGCCAGATGGAACAGCATTTAACGACATGCAGCAGAGGCATCCCGCGCGTTTCCCCTTGGATAAGGCGCACCAACAGGCCGAGGTAAGTGTGCAGTCGGTGCTAAGAGAGATGGACGAAAACGGCCAGAAGCGGAAGCAACGGTTGTTCCGGCGGCACCAACAACGACAGAGAAAGCAGGCCAGTCGATCTGCCAGCGCTCTGCCCAGTGCCGACGAACGGTTCAACGTCGCTGGTGAACGGGAAGAGGAGGAAGAGGTGGAAGCGAAAGGTGGCGAAGAAGGTCATGACGGCCAATGGCCATCGCCACAACATGGACGCACCACTTTTTCTTTCTCTTCCGAGGGTTTGGGTGAGGGTTTCAACTGTTTAGCGCAAAGGTTGGCCCTGGCGGCAAGCGTTTCGATCCTCGACGGCCTCATACTGAGCGGCAGAGGTGAGTTCGTCGAGCTTGCAACGAAGGTGGGGGGGAGGGAGAGGGGTCTCTACAGGTGGCGTTGATCCTATTTCGACCCCATTCACAGAGACTATTTCTGTGTGCTGAATTCATTTGGTACCAGTTTCAACCGTAGTGGTTGGAAGATTACTGGAGCACCATCGAGCTTCAAGCAGTGCATCGGGCGACCAATAACAATAGAACATGACACAATGATATTCTCACCATGGCCCCACACTTCATTGCAGGTATCGCTTTTCGGTACAGGTAGGCTACCGGACGACAAAAATAATTTGGCACCCCTCTGAGTATCCAGTAAATGGTACTGCTACCGTGTGTCCACACATCGTTTGCGAATATCCCTAATCCCTGCGAGTAGTGGTTCTTCGAAGCATGTGTATGGTGGCGTCGGTTCAAAACGGTCGACTCTCATGACTGCCCTGCGTGCGTGTCATGTGCCGCAAGCAGTCGGAGCAAATCGTTGTACTTCTTCTCTCTACTTGGTCGTCGCCTCCAGTGAGCAGTAGAACAGAGGTCAGGCCATAGCGAGAGTCCTCGTTCTTTTGCACGTGCTTGCTCTCGTCTCTGCCTTTTCGGTCGTATTTACGGTTCAGACAGTGACGGTAGCTGGAGTGGCAGCGTTTCGTCCGGACAAACAGGCGTGAGCGGTGGTACCGGCAGCGGTCGGGTGATCGATGAGGTTAAACGCGCGGGACTCCCGCTTTTGATGGTGCAGGGAACGGAGGACGCGCTGGTTGGGTCGCCGCTCGCGTTGGTGCTGAAGCAGGAGGTGGGGACATTCATAGGACTAAAACAACTATTTGGCTGCATCATGTGAAGTCTTCCTTCCGAATTACAAGTTTCTTCGTGGTATCATACGCATGGCGGTCGCTTTGTAAGTTCGGAAAGTTTGAGGGCGCTTGCCCGGGGGTTTTCTCCCCCGCTGTGTTGCGCCCGCCCTTTTGGTAATTGGATTTATCGTCGGATGTTGAATGTAACGTCGATCTTTGCAGCTATCGGAAGAAGCTGTCGATGCCGAAGCTGGAAGCGTGCTGGAATGCCTCATGCCAACACCACCGGGCATTTCGCCAGGCGGTAGGGTGCATGGCGAGCAAACCGTAACACCGACGTCGTCGGTGGGAGGGGCAGAGTACGAAAAGGGAAACACGAGTGCCGACGGGGACGGAGGATTTGAGGACGGGGGTCGAGGAAGCGACGTCGCTGAACAACGGCGAGGAGGACATGGCTTGCTCCGCACGCACACGTGCTGGGTGAAAGCTGGCCACGATGTGCTGCACGAGAGGGGGCCCTTCCTACGGGCTTTGCTCAACAAGGTGGACACGTGCAGACTGCTTACCTTCTGAACTAACCCCCGCAATGACAACCGAGATGTGATGTTCATGCCATCGGGCACCTTATTCTCAAGCAACACAAACCCCAACCATCTCAATGGCAAAACGAAAAGTACGTCCACCATTTCCACCTTTGCCTGTGTGAAGAGGTTGCAACCTCCGTCGCGAGAAATGTGGGGGTTGAACAGGTACTTATCTCACTTCCAGATGGTTTCAACGAATCACACCGAACAATGGTCTATTTCCCCCCATTGCCGTTGCCTCTCTTCGCGGTTTACGCACTATTTAGGCGATATACGCTTGCCACGGGCGCGACGCCCCGCCGACTCGTTTTCCCGAAGGAACCGAAAGCCCAACCAATGAAGGTACTCGTATCAACGGTGGCGGCACCAACGTTGCTACAGACGCCGGTGGGGGTGGGCAACGACATGAGCTGTCACCGTTGCTGCAAGCCGACAGCGCCGCATCCCGGGGCAGCAGCAGCGAGGGAAGACCGGAGGGGCTTGATGACGGCGATCGAAACAGCAACAGCAGCCAGGAGGCGAGACTGTTCTACCGCCGGGAAGGAGTAGCTGAACGGAACGCAGAATCAACTGCGTGTGCCGCCGGCGCTAATGTTGGTTCTGGTACTGGTGGAGCTGCAGATGCCGCAGACGATGACTCTCTGGGTTCGCCGCACGCAGAAAACAACAGCAAGTGTTGGTCTAATGTAAGGGCTGAGAGAGACTCGGCAGACGACGGCGGTCCTAGCGGCGGAGGTGGTACGGCCGTGGACAGAGTAAATCCTCCGTCCACGACAAACGCCGGCTCTACGTCGACTGGCTCATCCGTGCAGACGTCGGCGGCCACCAGCGTCCTCATGGGCCGGGCACCAAAGCTAGTTGACTTCTTCGACCTGGAGGACGACGGTTCGAGGCAAGAGTTCCAAGAAGCCAGGGACTACATCGAAGCGTGGCGCGAGTTCAGCATCGACAGGGCCATCGTGACCGCCGAACTCGGAGCGACCGCCGAACGCTTGGCCGCTCTGGACCTGCCTCTGGTGGCGCGGTATACGTTCCAGGTGAGCACTCGCCACGAGGAGGCTCACTGATTCTTCTCATTCGTGTCGTTTTGGACCTAGCTTGGCGTGCCAGTCTGCCACGTCGTTTGTATTTTTCTTCTTTTTTTACGCTCCGCCCGGGTCTACCGATGCTGGCTTGTCGATTGATGGCTTCGCGCTCAATGTTCGGTTTTGCGAACAGCCTGTGTACGGGTCTGTGAACAAACAACTGGACTTATTCCTAACCTCCTCACTGCAAAGAGCCCTTGCCCTGCCCGCCACGGCTGCTGCCTTGGTCAACACCCCGTGGTGTCATTTCAGACGATGAAAGAGTGCTGGAGATGCCGAGCGCTCGTGGTCGAGGTCACTCGCCTCGATCTCGGAATGCGCAAGAGGCAAGCACACACGCGCGAGCAGCTGGCCCTCTCCATCCGCACCGTGAACAACATGGTCCGCACCCTCCGCAAGAGCAACAGCAGCAGCAACAACCAACACCGCGACATGAACAACAGCGGCGACAACAACGCCGCCGCCGCCACTACCACTGCTGAGAACGACGGCAACCAGCAGGACCTTCTCCACCTCGAGCCCCTTGATCAGCAGGCACTGAAGGCCGAGATCGTGGCCGCGGAGGTCTCCAGGGCGACCAACTACGCGGCCTGCCGCAAGCTGCGGCGTACCGGGGCGGTCTTCGCCGCCCGGCGGGAGCGACTCGAGTCGGCGCTGGCCTTCCTCACGGGGCGGGTGCGGGGCACGCTGCTGTCGCTGGATCGGATTATGGGGCAGCTTCGGAAGCATGTCGCGCTCGCGAGGGTACAGGAGAGAGTCTTCCACGAGGAGGTGGTCAAGACCGAGAGGATGGGGCTGAAGGCTCGCCGGCGCCTTGAGGTGGTCCGGGAGCAGCTTTCGACGTTGCGCGTACACCCGCACAAGGTAGAAGTCTTTGACAGAGCTTTGTTGTTTCTTTTCGCGTCGGATGCAACAACCATTCACACCACGTGTCCAAATTGTATGAATTGGACTACCATCCTCTTGGAAATCGATGTGGAAACTGTCTTTGGGGGACAAAAAGTGGCAACTCGGGGGGAGCGGCGGCGCCACAGCTGGTGGTCGATGTGACTGTTGGTGTGATGATATCGATGATTCGACCTCACAGATGCGACAATTGTCGTACCCTGCGAGTTTCTATATATCTGAACGTGAAGGCTTGAGCATGTAGCCACAATACATTGTTCCCAAGATGCGATCATTGCTGTACTTCCCCCGCGCCCTTGTCTTCGATGTCCTCAATGAATTATCACGTGGCATAGTGGACGGACTCGGATGCGTGGCAGCCAGGCTACATGCAGAGACACGAAACGGCGGAGCTGGTCAAAATGCTCGAGGCGGAGGGTCGCACCCTCCAGGCGGCCGCGGACAAAGCCTGCGAACAGAGTAAACGCGCTCGAGAGCTCCACGGGAATGTCTTCCAGCAGGAGTCCGCTCTGGTGTCCACGATGCAAGGCGTGGGTGCGCTGTTCAGTCTCCTGAAGACCGCCCTAGAAGACGAGAACTTCGTCAGGAACGCGGAGACTGTAGTGGAGGCACAAACGGCGCTTGAGCAGGAGGCGTTAGGGCTCGGCAGCGGGAAGGCGGGGCGAATAGGTAAGCGAAACCGACGAGGAAAAGGGCTGCCATCGGCAGAGGCGCGCGTGAGGGCCATGCCGCACCGCAACCGAACGCCGGATGAGAAAAGGTGGGTGGCCCTGGACGCGGTGGTTAACCCTCAGCTGTACCACCACGTTACCCTCGCCGAGGCCGAGGAGATGCGCTGGGACGCCCTGTATTACACACGACTGGACCGCGAGGACATCCTCCGGGTGCTGTCGCTGCCGCCGCAGGTGCAGCTGGCCCTGCCATTCCTGCACACTCCTGACGAGGTCGCCGCGCACGAGCTCCTCGCCCGGTACTCGCTCGGCATCAGCGCCGACCACTTCGCGCAGCAGGACAAGGCTAGTCAAGACACCTGCGAGAATCTGAACACTGCTTCTGCGTCTTCCTCCATGACTGCGGCGGCGGAGGCGGCCGGCGACGACAATACCGCGCCGGGCAGCGCTACCGCAAAAGGAGCGGGAAATTCCCGCCCTGGCTGGCGGGACGACATCCTTGCACGCGCCACTCAGCGAGTCTTGGCTTGCATGTGGCGCGCCGCAGAGGCGGAACTAGCGTCTCCCGAAGACCGAGACGACGAGGAGGCCATCTGGTGCGTGCTGGATCGGAAACTTCGACCGCAGCTGTACCGCGACTCCGACGAAAGCGCCGCTGACAGAGCCGAAGAGCTGCATCGCGACGCTGACGCCCGGGAGGACGCGCGCCACACCTGGCTGATGACCCCCAAGGGTAATTGCCCGAGGAAGCCCGCCGCCGCAAAAAATCTATCAACTGCCGGGGGTAGCAGACACAAGATCGAGACCGTTGTCGAGCAGCAACGGGAGGCCGAAGGCGTGGCAAAGCTGAGGGGAGTATCCGAAGAGCGCGAAGCGCTAGTACTCGAGGTTGCTGACTCTTTCAGTGAAGAATACGTCAAGGCCTTGGCCGCGTCGGTGTCGGTAGGCGGTTTGCCAGAGGTTAGCGTGGAAGAAACAGGCCGAGAACCAGAAGGGGATCGGGGGTTGAAGGGGACACCAGGGGGAGAAAATGGTGAACCGGGAGCTACAGCAGTAACGAGGGACACCGGAGACGACGAAGCGCGCATGGATGCAGCACGGCAACGAGAGAGTAGTCAATCAGCGGGAGACGACGGCGACCGCAACGAGAAAGAGGGCGAACAGCAAGAGCGACGCAGCCGCAGCCGCCGCCTCGTGGAGACCGTACAAAGAGTCCTGTCTCGCTTCCTCGTCGTCGAGGAGGAGACTCCTGTTGGGCGGGACATGACTCGGTCCCTCGCGATGCTGCAAGAGGTAGCCCTGCGCCTGGGAAGAGGGCAGCGGGACATCTTCTCGGGGTTAAACCCGCAGACTGCTCTTGCCGCCCTTCGGTCCCCGCCACCGTCGACAGCGGGAAAGCTGGCATCCAACCCACGAACGGAGGAGAATGGCAGCTGTTCCGGCATTATCGCGGCAGAAGGAGGCGGAGAGAGTGGGATGCAGAGAGGAGAAGCTCCGTGCATCGGACGAGCTGAGGGAAGTGTCTGCGGAGCTGCTGAAGGTACTCCAGGGAGCACGAGAGACATTGCTGAAGGAGGTCGGTCGGCTACCAGCAAGCCTGACAGAACGGTGAACAGGGTAGACCCTCGACAACATCGGTTGGCAGATGAGGCGAGGCCCATGTCGGACTCCGGGAATTGTCACGACAGTTGCAACTACAGCGCGATGTCAGATACCCCACGAAAGCTCGAAAAGGTGTTCGGTTCCTGGGAAGAGATACATCCAGCCGCGCTCGGGGTGCATTCTCAGGAGAAGGCGTTCCGAGCAGGAGACGGAGAAGGAATGCATCCGGCGAGCTTCCGGAGAGATTCCACAAGTGATGGTATGCGTAAACCCCACGGATGCATGTACCCCGCCCAATATTTCTCCGGTATCTCTGTAGGAGCAGTATTTGTTATGGCCCTTAAATTGGAACAACACGATAGAGGTGTGCTTTCTTTCTGGCTGTCTCTTGCGGCGAAATCCATTTTATCAGTCATTTGGGTTGGAGACGTCGTCACATGCCAAGGAGAGCGCAGACGAGGGTGTGGACTGTGATTTTCGACGACAGTCTGCCTGCGTCGCCGAACCTTTGCGTTCAAAACGCAAACGACGGGATGAAAAACGTTCCGGTCGTGCAGTACCTTGACTGAGCCATTCAGCGTTCTTCGTGTGCAGACAATCCTGGGATCTCCAAAAATAGGAAGATGATTCATCCCGCATCCAGTCGGAACCTTGCGGAAAAAAGCATGTCAGAACGTTCTCGACTTGGAGCTGTTTGTCCACCTACGCCTGTTTCTCATACCTTCAGGGCCTCCCCCGCACGCCGTGAACAATGACCGCGTGAGGCGAAGAACCAACCAAGATATACTCCTTCGATGATTTCTGCCCCGCTCCCTTGTGCTTCGTCCGCAGGAGACAGCATTGGCTCTACCCGATCGTCCGCGCTCACAGCCCCTAGGTTTACTCCTTTCTACGACACCCGTCACCACCACAACAACAACTTGAGCGCATCGCTAGACCCCCTAGACATCCTGACCGGGGAAGGGCACCCAGGGGCCGCACCAGAGAGGCTGTCATACGAGGCAAGCGGCGGGAGCAGTTTGATTGCGGCTGGGATGGACAGGGTCCGAGATTTTGACCCCGGAGAGGTGAGACGATGGAATTCGTTACCGAACTCCCCCGATTATCCTGTGGTACAGTACAGCGGCAGTTGGCGCATGCTGAACTACGTCGATCCCAACTGGCGTCACGCTGGCATGAAAGGCTCGTTTGAAGTTTCGCATTTCGTGTGAGAATGCGGGGCGCTGACATTAGGGGCTGTACCGGAAGGCCTAGGATAGGGGACGACGAGGTCTTGCAACAGGCTACGACGTAAGGCCTTCGTCCCCTCGCGTGTGGGATGTTTGGCACGGCGCATGAGTGAAAAGCTGTCAGCGAATCGTTTTAATTCAGAGCCATCAACAACCTTCTTCGTCAGTTTTCGCAGGGCTTCTTCCAAACGATCCGGGCGCTAAATCTTGATGGCTACAGCTCGTGCCTCGATGATTCGCGCTTGCTCGCTCCTTGGGTGCCAACACTCTCGACCTACGCGTAGAAAGGTGGTACTCGTGGCGGCACTCTGGTTCATGTCTCGTTGCTGTGAATCATGATGGGGGCGTTGCTTGGTATTTCGCCGGCGCTATCCCCGGAAGCAACATCGGTGTTCCCTTGTCTTCAATCGAAAAGGTGCAGCGCCGGGGGCTGCTTGTTGCCTCTCGAAGGCGCACATGCCTGTTAGAAGTGGAGACGTCCGAGCTTCAAGCTGGCCAGAGCAAGGCTTACGCCTTCGAGGTCGGACCGTACGGCACCGGCGGCGACGACGGCGGCGGCGGCGGCGGCGGCGGCTGCAACAGCAGCGATGCCGGCAGCAGCATCAGCGCTGAGCAGCAAAACAACAATTCGGTGGGTGGGGACAGCCGAGATAGCGAAACAGGATCGACAGGAACTACCGCCGAGGCCGCCAAGGTGTGTGCGCCCGACAAACATCAGATAATCTGCAGAGGAACACCGTGCCTGGTCTTGAGAAACACTTCGCTTTCTCCATCGTGAAGTCACGCACGCGGCTTTCGCTCCCGACGTGAAATGATTTTGCTGCTCGTAAGTTTTTTTTACTCATTCGTTTCGCTATACACACACAATGTAACTTCCTCAGCTAAATATTCTCGGCTCAATTTCGCCGTTGGGTGGAATTTTGTCTGGGTTGTGCGCCTGCGAAACTGCGAAAAGCTCATGCGTACGGCACCTTTTTCTCATTTCATGATGTCGACGCTGATCGTACCTGTCGACTACTTTTTCTAGGTTGTAGTCGGTATCGCCGTAACAGTTGTGTTCCAAGGAAATTTCGAGACCGACGGCTATCGCCTCGGCCGACTCGCCGCCGGGTTGTACCGCATGCCGCCCGAGTTCGGGCAACGGCAGGCCGAAGATGGAGCGGGGCTCCCTGAGGTGATGTGACCTGTTTTGGGTTAGCGGGGTTGAGGCAGGTTTGTACACGCTCACGCCGGGGCTACTGTTGGCATGGGATCATGGGATGTCTGCCGCTAGAGCAGGCACAGCCCGTCATGGTCATGATCTTGACGGTGGTGCTTCTGCTTTCCCACATGGTGGTGACGGGCACGGTCGTTTGCTATAGAAAGCGCGACGGCAGCATCATTACCTTTTTCAAGTTCTTCGCGATGGTTCTTGCAGCTTGGGTTCGGTCTCGTCGACACGCTCAACACATACAGCGTGCAGCTGCACGTTGTTTGTCCTAAGGGCGTATTGCCGGGAATTCGCCACGCGGAAGAGCAGCCCCTCCCACCCAGCTCAACCTCCCCCCAATCCTGCCTCCACCCTTCCCCCGTCAACACGCCTGTTTTTGCTCCGAACTGAAACATTTTGTAGCCAGTGGGGTTCGCCCCGTACTCTCTGCAGTCTCTCAACACACCAGAGTCACTCGGAAGGGTAATGATATTCCACCAGCCCCGGGTGCACCCCGTGCGGGCGGGGAGGTTTCAGGTGATTGTGAGGTGGGAGAACAGCTGTGATGGCATACTCCCGCGGCACCGTTATTGTGAAGGCCGTCGATATTTCCCTGCCGAATGACGAATATCAATCAGACACCCTCCCCCCGGTACCATTCCGTTGCGGGTGCAGTATTATTGACCGTGCTTCCTGATTCCGGTTGGTGTGATGCAAGATACTGTGCAGCTGTTGCAACGCGTTGGAATCACTCGCGTACACCGACACACAAAACCTGTGGCTGCCTCTAGAGTTGATTCGGCTTTGTGCGCTTGCGGTACTGCCCATTGCGGCAAGTTGGCAGTGGTGTTTGAACGAACACGTGGGCGCTTTTCTCCCTCATCTTTGTGCAGGTGGTGATTGGTGCAGCGTCGCGCGTGAAGTACAGCGTTAGCGTTGTGGCTTCCACGGCCATCGATGCGTTCGCTGCTTTCGACGAGAGTATGAAGGAGGCCAAGCGCATGCAGAAACGTCTCCCCTCGCTCATGGAAGAAATGGAGGTGTTGAAGGTAGGCTCTCTCCCAGTCCCTGCTTTGAAACGAATTTGAAGGCCTTAGGAGTGTCGCGCTGCCAAATGCGCTGAAGTGCCCACAGTATTTCATATCACCGGAGGCGAAACTCACGCACGCAAAACAGCGATCGATGACTTTTGCAGAAAATGGGAGATTTGAAGGAACAGATTGATAGGACTATCTCCGACGACGAAAAGTAGCGATAATTGCACACTTCAATACGAACTCCCGAAGCCTGCACCCCTACATATCTACTGCATCACGAAGGCGACCTCAGTCACACTTCGTTGCAACCCTTTAAAGGAGATTGCTAGGACAACGCGAGGAATCGTTGCACTTAATAACTTTCCCTGGTTAACGGACTCTACCCAAAAGTCAATGACTCGCTGCTGACTTTTCCCGACGCTAGGAGACGCCGATTTTCTTCCGTGTTCTTGCCCGGAGTGCATTCATGCGTGTCATCGGAATCTCAGTCAGATCCACGAAAATCGCCTTATCGTGCGCGGGAACACTGGTACGTCTAACTTAAATATATGTGGCGTTGGCTTGGCTGCAGGACGTATCCAAGCTGGCGAGATGGAAGCAGCGAATCGTGAGGGAGCTCCTCGAGGAAGCCAGGGAGGAGGCTGTGAGGTAAACGAAAGCGTGAAGCGCCGAAAACGCGTGCCGAGAGCACCTGTCTCATGCCCTATCGGCTGCGGGTCTCCCATACTTTCTACAGTTTTGCTGACACGCCCATGGGACACCCATATGCAGCCCATGGGTGACCCATGGGCCGCCCATGGCCACTTTGTTGCCCGTGGTTGACCCATGGGCATGCCCAGGGGCGGCCAATGAGTGCCCTTCAACCGGAAACCAGTGAACTCTTACACAATAGGTTAGTTGCTCTGGAACGGGCACAAATATGGCTAGTAGCCCAAACGCCAACCCCAGCCCTAACCCTATCCCAAGGCCCACACGAAACGTGCTAGGTTGGCGTTCGGTGGCTAAGTGTTAGGTTGATGTGCCGATGGCAAAGTTCGAGGTTGATATGCCGGTGGCGAAGGTCTAGCTAGGTTGAAGTGCGCACGGTAGGCACTTCGTGGGCACTTCATGGGCCGGGTGTCCCATGGGTGGTTTGGCTAGACTGTCAGTAGTGTGGGAGATTGATCGGCTGCTCTCGCACCTCTACTGGGTCGATGGTCACCTCGGTGTGATGGTGAACCTCTGCTGTGGACGTCACTCTCCCGATGTATTGAGTCGACGGGTTGGTGTTGGTCCCTGACGTCCATGTTGGCGGTCCCGGGGATGCCTGAAACGACGCACAGGTGTCGTTAACTAAAGAGCCCAAAGGAAAGTCTTAGTGTAAGGCCATGCGTGGGACGCGTGTTCCCCCGAATTCCGGCTGCATACAGTGAATACATCATCAGGCACCACGTTTCCCTTCGACCAAAGTATATTGTGCTGACCAAGCAACGTAGTTGACCAGCGAGAACGTCGCTCCAACGAAAAAGTGATGCGACCCCGCCCTCTCCCCCTGTGATGGGCATCTTCCCTGATGCACGCACTCATCACCGCCGTTGATTTACAAAATGCTCGGTGCTCACGGTGGGGCTGTGACGCGTCGGTTCGGTGCGTGGTACAGATGCGATGTTGAGGTCAATGAGGTCAAGAGAGAGATTCAGGTGGGTGCGCGGGTGGGACGGGACTTCTAGCCTAAGTGCGAGCCAGCGGTGGATCGCCTCGGATCCGATCCCCCCCTCACAATATCGGGATGGAGAGAGAGGTTCGGCGGCAGCGCGTGGAAGACACACGAGTCCACGCCCATCAACATAATCGAGCTGCCATCCACGAGAGGTGTCCGAGAAGCACCAAGAACTGTCCCCCTTCGCCCTGAACTCCATGTCACTCCTGCTTCGCGTTGACCTGCGTTTGGGCTCGCCTCCCCTTGCTTGTGGGATTAGGAGGAAGAGAAAGACCAAAAGCTAGACGATGACGGGCGGCGCGCGCTGCTTGCCGAGGCACGCCAACTGAATGCGGAGCTCGTCCGCTGGAAGGTATGCGGGCTGTAAATGCCTCTGACTGTATGTGATTTGTCTCCGACGTTTTTCTTGCTGTGCCGACTAGCTCACTTCAAGCACCCGATTAGTTCCGTTCAAGCACATTGGACCGGTTTCCTGTTCGGGTTTCACTATCTTACAAGCCATCGACCACCCCAATCGGACTAGTGGGTGCAGAGAAGTGCCCACCTCGGGGGCTCGGTGCCTCAAGGGCCGGTGAAGCAGATAAGCTATATCTGCACCACCTAGGCAAACTCTGTCTACAGGGCGTCGTTTCCCCGACGAAGAATTGCATTGTCTTAGTGCGGCCCACAGCAATCATACAAGTCATCGAGCGTTGAGGTTGTAAGACGGAGAGAAATGCTCACACATGGGGGCTCCGCGGCTCAAGGCCGGTGGAGCAGATTGGCCATATCTCCTCCACCGAGCCAAACTCTATCGACAGGGCGTCGTTTGCCCGACACGAAGATTGGCTTTGTGTTGGCACGGTGCACACCTATCATTCAAGGCATCGAGGACGTCATTTGGATCGGTTGACGTAGAGCACGCCTACCCACGGGGGCTCGGTGGCTCAAGGGCCGGTGGCGTAGTCTTAAGTCGGCGAGTCGTATGGTTACCTGTCGAGTCGTTAGTTGACATGCCACCCACCCTTTATACAGACTTCGTCTTTGTATTACTCATGTGTATAACGCAGGAACCAAGAGTGTCATTAGTTCAGCCAGTATTTGAAATTTCCGAGTACACGTTTCTGCAAGAGAGCGCGCCGCCGCGGCGGAGTTGTTGGACCCAGAAAAAAGCGTGTGTTGGGCCTTCACCTGTACAGCGCAGGACCCAACACCGTGTGTGGATGTGCTGTACTGATGGAGTCCCACAGCAAACAGAGCAAGACTAGGGCTAGGGTTTCAACCCCGATCCGGTCATGGGTACGGGCGGACGTATGCCCGTACTTACGTGGAACGGGGGAAAGTGGGCCGATGTCTCGCGTTGAAGACACCGTACTCACCATTGCACTGATGGATTGATTTGCAAAAACATTTGTACGACACCGCACATAATGTTTCGAAGCAACATCCTCTGCGTTCCTATGGCTCTCAGCTGTCACCCAAGCCCTCGTTCATCTCATAGTGACTGGTGGTCGCCGAGATATGGCTTAAAATGAAGTTACAGCACCACCTCGGTGGTGTCGTAAAAACATCGTATCGAAAACACCCCAATAGACTATAGACGAAAACAATTGAGCTGTGTTCCCACGCCCCCGGCTGTCGCGCAAGCCATCATTTGGCCTAAACCAACATGTGGTGATCGGTATACGCCCAAGAATGTGGCGGCAGCATCAACTCGGCGTCGTCGCAAGTAAGCATATATTTACGACACCGTGCGATTCTTCCGAGAACACCTCCGACGGGCGCAAACCAATTTTGTTGTTTTTCCACGGCCCCCAGCTGTCGCTCAAGCCATCATTTGGCCGAAACCAACATGCGGTTGCCGAGAAACGCTGAAGAATGCGCCCGCCGCCTCCCTTCGGCTTCGTCGCAAGCAAGGCATATTTACGACACCGCGCGAAACTTTCCAAGAACACATCCGATCGGCACAATAGCAACTTTGCTGTGTCCCTATGGCCACGGCTGTCGCGCAAGTCGTCATTTGGCTGAAACCAACATGCGGTTGCCGCTATGCATGTAGACCTACATGCCGCCTTTCTTTAGACGGCCGACCGAGGGCGCGGTGTCGATCGGCTACATAATCCATAGAGAAGACTGTCTCGATCGCTGCATACAAGCGAATGGGAAGCCAGACAATGTTGGCAGTTTCGCCAGCAATTTTTCCGGCGCGCAGCACCCAGAGGTCCATGGGCGTTCGTTGTGGAACGGCCCTGACTACCAAGACGTAAGCGCAAACCTCGGTGGCGGAAGGAGCGGGAGGCGCAACCGAGGGTACCCCCCGTTTCGTGCACCAGGATGCTACTCGTCCAGGAAACCGATATGCATCTGAATCTAATCTCTGCCTTTTCAGTATCAAGACACACCCTTCAATTTGGGAGTGAAAGTTGTGCAAAACTTCTGTGACCTCCCAAGGGAAAATAACAGATGTCGTTTAAGATGTAGAGCTCCACTGAAACGCGGTCTTCACGATGTTGTTCCCCATGACATTCACAGGGAAGGCTTTCGGTGTCCGAAGTCCCGGTGTGAAACCGGGTTTCGACTCCTTCAAAACATACGCTTTCACTGTGTCGTAACCCTACTTGAGAACTTCACTCCTTCATTCTTGTCCATTTCATGAACGAGTGCTGTCTGAGCCCGAAGTCCCAGTGTGAAACCGAGTCCAAAGTCCGACACGCAGATCTCGCTGGTTTCATCGAATCCGAAGCATATCGTCGCAGGCGTCATCGCCAAAGATATACTTCACTGTTAGCTTCGAGGGGGCGTCCTCGCCGAGGGAACCGATGTGCATCTGAAGCCAAAATTCTTCTTTTTCAGTACTTCAGTATCATGGCACTGTTGGAGAACTGGATGTGAAAGTACTGCGAAATCGTCACGCCTTTCGAGGAAAATTGTACAATTTCTGCGAAATATTTGGATCTCATGGATACGGGTCTGACTAAATTCATTCATTCCGTCCACGGAATTCGCAGCAGATTTGGCGGTATTCGGATGAACACCCCACACGAGCTGTGGCAGGAAAGCAAAACACATCTGTCAACGCTCATCTTCCGCACTCGCACAATTGCCCTTTTCCGAAGCCTATGCACCGTCCAAGCCGTTTCCGACCCGCACGCTGCTGACGTTGGTGCACGAAACCGGCGGTACCCTCGGTTGCACCCCCCGCTCCTTAGGCCGTTCCACGACGCCTATGAACCTCTGGGTGCTGTACGCTGGCCAGTGTGCTGACGAAAATGCTTGCTAACGTCGCAAGGTTTCCCATTTATTTGTGTGCAGCGGTGGAGATAGTCTTCTCTGTGGATAATGGATAATGTAGCCGATCCACCCTCCGCCCCAA